TGTGGCTCCTTCCATAGATGAGCTGCTGTGGAAGGAAAAACTCTAAGGCTGGTAATGAGTATTTAATAAATTGGTTTGTTCCTATAAGCACTCTTTTTGGTCTTGTGGTCTAAGCACTTTATTCCCTCTGTACCATTCAGTGCTTGAATGGTAAGAGTGCCTTCCTGCTTCCTCATTTCATCTAAGGATTCTGAAAGGAAATAGACCTGTTGTGCAACTAAGATATACTTTATGACTCCAAGCGAAGTTACTTTATAAGAGTAAGGAAGAGTGTATTGACTTCTAGTATAGTTGCAGGAAGAATTTCTGTGGCCTAATGGAGATGGACTGGAATCAGGGCTGCCACCCATTTCTGGGTACTGAGATCACCAAATGCTGATTGAATTCACCTTCTAAGCTATTTGGCCTGTATCTGCAGTTGCTGCAAGGAAGAGAGACAGTCCTAAGTACAAATATAGTTTTGGTTGGCAAAGAACTTACTTAAAGAAATAGGCTATAGAATGTGGCAAGGCTTAATTGCATATAGAGTTACCAACTAATTAGGGATTTTGTTATGGTTCGAATCAGAAAAAGCCTCATAAAAGAAGTGACTTTTGAGGTGGACCTCGAAGAATCAGGAAGGTTTGGGTCATTCACAATAGCTGAGAAATGAAAAAGCTGTGGCCAGACTAGGTAACTGGGCAGTCGGTGTATAGAAATTTTGACAGAAGCAGCGGGTTGAGAGTAAAATGCTTTTCTAAGACAGAAAAGCATGTGCTATCCAGTCTGGCTTTTGGTAGATTTCTGGGTTCTAAAGAGTTGTCATTCGATGAGTTTGTCTTGTTCTTTTAGGCAGCCAGTGACATAAATCAATGCCTAACTTATTTTAAGGACAGTGGAAAAGATGCTGATTATAATTCCTGTTTGGTATTAACAATCAGGAAATTAAATTTGGTGTCTGTCAGTTATTTCAGTGCCTGTGTGCAGCTTTAACAAGCACAGCTCTGTCACTCTGGCTACAGCCAAATGATAAATGGCAAGCTCTTTAGCAATTTTTCTGAGTGTTTTTAATGACATCTAGTTCACTTTTGCAGAGATGCTGTTTCTCTTACCCAATATTGTTGAAGAAACCCTTAAAGCCATTCAAATATGATGCCATGTATTGCTTTGGAACATTATGATTAGTTTCAGGACCTCACTGGCTTCAACCTTGGCCTTTCC